AGTAGTCACTCTGGTGGCTGCTTTCTTGATGAGCAACATTTCTTCGTCCACGAAACGAAGTCGTGCAGGATGTTCTTCGTGAATTTTTTATTTGTTTTTCCTTACATAACCCGTCATCACATTTACTATGCAAATCTCAGCACTTCTTGAATTCGAGTCTTTGTTATGAATGTCGTTGAATGCTGGTCGAGTCGGTTGTCTTGTCTTATTATTTAACGATGCGTCATCACATTTATTGTGGGGATCCCACTACTTCTTGAACTCGATTCGTTTTCTTTGCATCGTCCACAGTGATCATCGAGCATTTCGCGTGTTCTTACGGCTATTGATTGAGGATTTCTTCTTTGTGAATGTCGTGTTATGTTGATCGAGTCGATTCTCCTGGCAATCTTGGAGATATTCGAGCTAAGGTGCTCTCAGGTGGAACGGGAGAGAGCGTCGAATTAGAGCCTTTGCGTCGATCAGACAGCATGATTAACAGCTGTTGCTATTTCCCTTTGTGAATTTTTACGTATCTAAAACTTTCCAGATAATGTGGAAAGCAGAACAAAAACCACTATGTGCAAAAGTAAAAGGTAAAAGAAATGAGTGGACTTCAATTCACGTTGCACGTATTATCCTGCCATGTATGAGGATCCACTCATGTCGGTCTCTGAGTGTTAATACATGGATAAGAAATGGTGGAAACGTTTTGTGAATATTGTACGTAGTATGCAAGAAAACGTTAACTGTAAGCATTGTAGACTAACAGACGTTTCGGAATGAAATTTTTAGAATAAAGACGCACTTTATCCATTCGATGGATCCACACTATGTATAAGAGTAGAGTCCTACGTACCAAAATTGGACTCACTCAGTTCTCCTTAGTAATCCACTACTTCGCTGTTGTGATAAAGCCTCCCTAACTTTCGAACCTTTTTAAATTTAAAAAAAACCACAGCAGAAATGTTAGTTTCTGTCACGAAGAATCAAAGCTCTTAAGATATTTGACCAAGATGGACAACTTGAAAGAGAAAGTGAGAAGAAATCCAGGATTTCTAGCTTAGAACATCCCCAAGTACCCGCGTTCAGGAGTCAGCGGAGACATCGTGCCTAGGAAAAAACGCCTCTACGACTACTAGTTATGAAGAAATAAAACTAAGATATCCAGTAGACTAATAGGGGGATATGAAACTAAACAACTCAAGGAGAAATAGTGAGGTGTTTATCATACAGCAATGACTACACAATAGACACTACTAGTTTCGATATCAATTTGTTATCAAAATCGAACAGAAGAGAAATCAAATAGCGCCCGCCACCATCCACATCCGTTTTAGTCTTAGGGAAAACGCGAAGAACGAATGATAAGAAAAGTACAAAAGCGACGTCAGACGAATAGACGGAAATTGTAATGAACTAGAAGAAATTCAAGATTCTTTTTTTTGAATAACAAAAAACAACCAAACAAACACATTATTACCATAACCACTCTTACATACATCAACAAATATAAACAAATCATAAAAGTTACGAAACAAGGTAGAGGACAACAAAAACCACTAAAATATAAACATGCGAAAGACACAGGCAACCGAAAAGTCGGCTATTAGAACGAACTTGCTATTATCTATTAGAAATACCAGTATTTCATTCTTTCTTCTTTTTCCTCATGATTTTCTTTGATGAAGTTTCTCTGCAGACGATCTCTCCAGAACTACTTCGCCTCTGAAAAAAAAGAACTCATATACGTTTGCAAAATTATTTTACATGTACATATTATTACTATTACATAATATATTAATGGTATTCTTCCTAGTATTAAAAGTACAAGTATTTGCGCTAGTAGAACTTACACGTTTTCTAGAGCTTTCGGTGAGCTCCCCGTGAACGAAACATGAGAGTCCAGGTTAAGGAGATCATTTAGACGATCATAGCTCGTAGAAATAAGCTGTAAAGTGGCAAAATCGTCAACAAAACCATGTGACTGAACCAAATGAAACGACAGAATACATTTTGCGAACGTCGTTTCTTCTTTTTCTTCACGATTTTCCTTGATGAAGTTTCTCCGCAGGCGATCTCTCCAAAACTACCTCGTTTCTGGAGAGAAAAGAACTCATACATGTTTCCTCAAATGCCAAACTAGCAGAACCTACACATTTTTTAGGATTTTCCGGTGAATTCCGCGTAAACGAAACATGAGACTGCAAGCTAGGGAGATCATCTAGACGATCTAAGCTCGGAGAAATAAGCTGCAAAATGGCAAAGTCTTTAACAAAATTTTGTGACTGCACCAAACGAAACGACAGAATACGTCTTGCGAACGTCGTTTCTTCTTTTTCTTCACGATTTCCTTCGATGAAGAATCTCTGCAGGCGATCTCTCCAAAACTACTTCGTCTCTGGAAAAAAAACTCATATATGTTTACATAAGTTCCAAACTAGTAGAACTCACACGTTTCTTAGGATTTTTCGACACCGTAAACGAAACATGAGAGTCCAGGTTAGAGAAATCATCCTGAAGATCGAACCTCTCAGAAATAAGCTGTAAAGTGGCAAAATCGTTTACAAAATTGTGAGATCTAGCCAGACGAAATGACAGAATACATTCTGAGAACGTTGTTTCTTATTTTTATTCTCGTTTCCGACCATGACCTCAGACAATTGATCGCTACGTGACGACGAAACGGGAGTCGAAAATATTCCGTGACCTTTACCCTAGGAAACGGTTTACCTAATTGATATCAAGATGTTGATGCTAAATTATTTCAACTTACTTCAAATGCTTCTAAAAAAGAAAGATCTCATGTTTAGAAACTAAAATAATGGAGTTTTACCACGCTTTCAGATCTTCCTTTTCTATCCATAACACCTTCAGTTCTTGAATTGTCCTCCTTTGACGTGTTTGTTACAGAACAGGTGCTACGTTCAGCACATTTTCCTTCCTAGAAACAGTAAAAAAAGTACACTCCCTGTGTAGAACTCTCTACTCATTTGAAAACATCCTTGCCTTCTTCTTCCTTTTCTTCAGTTTTTTCAATCGATTTATGCTTCCTTCATTGACCTGTAACCCATTGTTCATCTTAATGGAAATAACAGATTTCGCATAGAAGAACTAGATGACAGAACGCTGCTAAAGACTATACCTTTTCATCTTCCCCATCATCCACACATATACTCGACGATAAAGTTCCGCAACTGGACTCCAAGCCCGATTTAGCAAGAGCCTTTATGAATCACTAAGTTAACTTGCATCCGTTATATCAATGTATATCAAATTGATAATAAAAAACGCATCCAAACAGATGATGAGACTATAATGTAATTCACATCATTAAGAAGCTGAAGCAAAGAATAGGAACAATTGTATTAATCAGTGTTAATGCATCACAAAATCTGAACCTAACCACAGAACCTGTAGCAGTGCATTCCGATCTACTTTGCAAAAATACCCCCTTGACAGAGAGGAAAATTCATCTGGGGTGTCTTCCTCCCTCGTTTTTCAAACGAAATAGTTGTCGGGATAAAAAACCAAAAGAGAGACGCAACGTGGTATGGAACAGACCTTCGTATCGACAGTAGAAACGCTTTCCCTGGAACGATTTCACGGTTTCATTGTTGTTTCATGAAATTAACGATAAGAGGTATGGACTAATACTTCTTCTCCTTTAAAAACTATGACAAAGACGCAATGTATGGAAGATTCATGCATTCATTTGGCTGAACTTCTAAACCCACTCTGTAGTATTGTCCATTGCTCTGTCAACAGCTACACCTAGATCCACGTTATCCTTCTTCCTTTCCAGATTTGACAACACCTCATCCCTAAAAAATATAGCACTTATGGATTCCACTTGCTCGTTTCGAAACCAGGCTTAAGATGACAGGGATGCCAAAATTAGACAGATTTTATTGTTTTTAACGATGGTAATATAGTAATATAGTGTTGATGTGCCATCCCTGGGAAAGGCTACACTCATTAATAGATGGTTTCGCTTTACTAGACTAAAGGTGAAGTTTACTTGTTGAACGCCAATCCGAACCATTTCCCATGCAGTTTTTAGTCACATAACTGCAGGATTTAAATATCGGCATCACAAGCACACTCATGTAAAGATGCATGAAGGTAAACAGGTGTGTGTGTATGTGTTTGTATGTTTGTACGTGTATGCGCATATATATACATATATATTTATATATGAATGTCCATATAACAGTTATGTATTTCTCCATAATATATTAGACAGGAGGGCAACATTCTTGATGATCTTTCATACCAAGGCAGGTACAATCAAGTACACTTCTAGTTTACGTTTACGTTTAACCCTCCTTCCGCCGTTTCACTATTTTCCACGTAACATCACAAGTAGCCGGCTGGATTTTCTCAATGAAGAAAATCTACGGGACACAAGTAATAACAAATTTGATATGGATGCTCTCCAGCGCCCTAACAGAACAGTTGTTCCATATAAAAATGCAGTGCGGACGAGCATTCATGACTTTTACCCCAATCTCTTTGACAGAAGACTAGACACAGACCTGTAGAATAAACGATCGCACAGAAGGAAAGTTCTCACCTAAACCTCAACATCTGGTCTTTAGTATGCACAGTCTCAAGCTGGTCATCAGAGAGCTGCAGTAAACGCATGACGCGTGCCGTGTCCAGAGTTTTTTTCATAGTAGCTAGCCCACGAAGTGCAGAAAAGATTGAAAGTTGGGAGAACGAAGCAGGAAATCTTAAGGAAAAAAGCTTGCTTCAAAAACCATAACAATTAACTTCAAGGAAATCACAGTAGCATAAAGAGAACAAAACCATTACTAGAACTTCTAAGAATGAAAGAAAGAATCAGCAACCGTTTCTGAGAACCGACGACTGTGACCTCGGTGTGAATAATCAATGTTTTACTTCACTCAAAAGTTTACATGAAATTCTTATTAAAACTGCTGTAGACATACAATTCGTATTAATGAGCCTCTTAAGAAGTTGAAGGTGCTAACGTTAATCACGGCAAAGACCTTAGCTTAAGGTAAGGACTTCGCGTTAGCTAACGAGTAGAACAAAATCAGCAACCTGTCATCAAGTGGCCTGAGAAACTTTGAAAACCCAGCGTAGACTGATTCCATGGAAGTTACTTGTGCCCCAACACCATTATTGATATCAGCACATAAAGCCACAATAAATACGCTGAACTTTTCCTTAAAAAGTACAACATGAAATACTGCAATTCCGAACTTTGCATGTTAAAGCAAGTATTACTCACCCAGTGCCCCAACTCGAGCTGCCCCATGATGACGTTAACAGTCCGAATACACAAGTCTTGTATCCAAAAAGAGAAACTACATCGTTAAGCACTTACAAATGGAAAATGCAGATTTCTTTAACCTGCTGCAACCGGAACAGCCTCTTCAGGTAAGCACCACCAACATATCGTAGTACGTCCACAGACGGCAAGTAGAATCCTGCTCCACTGGCAGTTGTCTTCTTAACGGAGGCATAAAAGCATAAAGGATAAGGCTCTCGAGGTTAATCAATCCCTGAGGGTGCGCCATGCATTCGATTCCATTAGGCATTGTTTGGAGGTGAGCGAATGCATATCTGGCCTTTACAATGACTCGCGGTGGCTTATCGATGTATCGAGCCAGTGCTGCTATTCTCCCAGACAAGTTTGGTAGCAATTTGCCGACCCCGGAAGAGTGGACGGCTTGGTTAGCCTTGGACGCTGGGATCAATCCCATGTGTATCGCGCAGTTCCTCCGACCACTGGGCAACACACACCCTATTAAAGCAGGCATAATTCTGTCGAAATACGTTAATGATATTGTGCTTTACCTTGTGCAAATCCGATACTCTCACCACCAAATCGTCCTCGTTGTACTTTCGTAGCATTCGCACGAGGTTTTTGTAGATTCTCCAATAACCCTGACGACGGTGTGCACCATTAAATTTGTAAACGAGTGCTTGTGCAAGCGACTGCGTGTTAGGGACAAGTGGCCTTTTCAACTGATCGAGCTGAAAACTTGTCATAGAGTACTACGGTACACGAAACAACAGCAGAAAAGCTCCAAAAGAAACTTTTATATCTTCCAGTGAATCTCACCATGTTCTCCAATGTGAACGCCACCTGTCGCACTGGCGTTGAGTCCCTTTCAGGGGCGATATTGAACACATGATGTGGATAGATTGTCGCTGTTTCATCAACTAATTCTAAAATAAAAATGGAATATGCTTTGCTATATCTTATTTAATGGCAGAAAAGCTCGCTCTACTACAATGAAACCGCATCCACTCACATTTATAGGTGTCACGGGACGATTACTACCATAAGAGAGGAAATACCCAAAGTAAGATCTATAATATTTACATGGCTTGAAATCCTTCGAAAGATCTCTGTATACGAACAGAGCAAGAACCCATAAAGGAAATTGTGTTGAACTGAGGAACTACCGCTGTAAAAGTTTGCATGACCAGTTTAAGAAGGTTAACTCTTAGCCACTCAATATTCCAGATGAGTTTGTTTATGCTGGTCAAACAAACACAGCTCCTTTCCTACCGACTCTATTTCTAGTAAGCTATTTGGTACTTTTTTAAGCAAAAACACAACAGGGGATCAACTTACGCAGGAGATCAGAGTACTCCTCCTGCCAGTTCATTTCGTCAACGGCAACAGATTCAATGAATTATGAATACGCTCCTGCAAATTGACTTTGATGCCGACTCGTTCAATGAGATCACAAACCTTACAAGATTAAAAACCTCAGCAAAATTCTATTTAAATCAACCATACAATGTTTTCCACAGCGGATCTTCCAGAAAAACAATACCAAAGTTTTAGGTAGCAACTCATAAAACTTACGCGTGTAATTCGTTATATTCTACGCAGTGTGTCTACACTACACATGAAGCGCACTTCGAGTTGACATCTACCCGAAACAGTGAAGCTATCTGGGATTGCGGGTGGGCATGGATCACTTCTCCGCTGACTTTTGTAGCACATTGGAGTTAGCCAAACCATAGAACCCTTCTCTTCATACCAGAACACCTGGGATGTTCTACATTCCGGTACTGCTAAATTTGTCCTGAAAAATTCAGGCTAAGTGTGATTAATATAGGTAAAATTACCGAAGACCCTTGGCTTGGAAGTAAATGAGGCCAAAAGAATAAGGAAGAAATTCTGACATGATCCACTGGGGCTGATATCAAATATGATCTCACAAGAAGAATGCATTCCTTAATAAGCATAGTTTTGCATGTCATCCGTTCACTTTCATCTCGAAATGAGGACAGAAATTATCATAGAGGCATCACAGCTGAGTGCTACACAACCCAGTAGGGCATACTGGACCTTCGATGACAATCAACCTCTCAGAGATGGAGTATTTTGCTTCGGTGCACAGAACCGATATACTTTTAAGAATCATTTATGGCCAACATTCGAGAGTTGACCTCAACGACATGAGCAGATACGGACAACAGAGAGGATCTGAGATGGGACGTTGTTTAAGGCTCTACCAATGACCGAACTTTTCGGGATGTACTGCAAAGATATACTGAAGATATATGCTTCGATAAATGTCGTGTGCCTTCAGCGTCAGCTTTCCGCCACAAGAAATTTAATATGATCTCAAGTTGTTCAAATTCCTTTCAAGTGGTTTTGAAATTCAGAAAATTTAGTCTACAAATGTTTGGATGACTACAACTGGAGATGTGACCGTTACCGTAGAGATGAGGTTCATGAAGAATTCGCTAGATTAAGGAAGCCACATGCATTGCAAGAGTTGGTATATAAGCCTTCCCTTGGCGGAGGATATGATGAAGAGAATGATCGATCTTGTTGGCACCTGGTGAAAACGGAAAGAGATTTCCCAAACAGATCATCCACCTTTGAGGAATCTGAAATGTGAAGAGTGACAATGGACAACAGAACAACATCAGAGCGGTCTAATGGTGTCGATGTGGAATGCTAAGAGGGACAGTGTCATGATGCTGAGAAAACATGGGTGGGAGAAAGGAAGGACCAGCATGGTGTGGTGAACGTGTTAGCCTCAGAAAGGGTACTAGCGAGTTCGATTCCCACCGCAGACACTTGTGGTCCACAGTTCTGCAAATATCTCAGCATCATTGTGGTTACAGTTAACATCATACGCCATGAAAAATAACAGGCAGTAAATAAAAGGTGATTGCTTCGTCATAGTGGTTATGACGACACCACTCCTATCATCAGGACCGCAGGTTATTGGTATACAAATAAGCTTCACACAACAGAAATAAATCACTGAAGAAGAAACACATTGACGCTGGTGCACTTCGTCCACTTCGTCCTCAGGCATGCATTGAAATCGATGTATCTCAAACATTGTCTGTTAAAGATATCGAAGTACACTGTAATATACGTTACGTCATCGATTTCTACTGGTCGACTCGACCTTTAGTTCCTTTTCGAAAACACACAACGGATGAAAACGTTCCAGAAACATCGAACACTTTCGCACCGCACACCACAGGAAGTCGGACGTCGGCCTACGTGGCCGTCACCCAAAACGCTGCATCCCAGTCCGATTGCTGAAGTGCTCCTCCTTATTTTGATATAGGACCGCTTTCTAGCTATTGTGACATCTCTTTTTATTGAAATCAGCCTGTACATATTGATGGATTTGCTTTCTTCGTTGCATCCTCCATGTGTTGATGTCTATGGTACCTGGTTCAATAAGGACCAGCACGTCATTGTTGCTTGAAGCAATCAGTACTTCGCAATCTTAGAACAGGCTTGGTAGACCTCTATGAGTATTCCCATTGCTATTTATCGCCTACCTGGTTATAAGGGTGTTCGCAATCTTTCGACTACTAACATAAATGGACGCTAAGGAACCCCAGCAGTGGTAATTTAACCCGGGTTTCCGGTGTGCTGACGGAGTTGTGTCTTTGCCTTTCAGAGATAACGATGTTAAGGTGTAAATCCTCACTCTACTTCATAAATAGTCATCCACGAATACGAAGAAATCACAGGGTGCTGTATAGATTAATACGTAATAGATTCATTGCCACCTCTAATAGCGCCGAGGTCCAAGCAATTCGATCGTAGTAGTAAAGCTCGTTCGATAGCCACATTGTGCACTAAGTCGGACCTCTTGGATACGGCTGACAAAATTGTAACAACACATACCACTTTCTAAACATATTTATTTATAACATAAGAACTCCCACTAGAAAATTACAACAGTTTGATAGGTGTTGTTAATTTTGATGCTTTTAAGAGTGGATTCACTAAATTCGACGTATCTACCGTATCACTCCGCCGATGAGTTTCTCAACCTTTTTGAGAACGACTTTTTCACTTGTTCGTTCTGAAATTCATATTTTTTCACATCGAATTACTCTCACCACCTTTTGGTCTGATTGAACAACAAAAGCGAACCGATTGTGATTTTCTGGTGACGGCCGGTTTTCGCGGAGGCATTATAGTCTTTCCGAAGCGCTGCTTTGTCTTCCTTGGTTTTTTCTTAGCATCCGTTTGTATTGATTCGGCTGATGCTGCCTAAACGCTTTGCGCTATAAAATGTCTAAGAGGCGTGAAATTAGTTTTAAAGAGCTATTTGATTGTTGTGTCGCTATAATCCAGGAAAACCCAATCTGCAGAAAACTGAAGGCCTGTTGATGACGACCATCTCATGTAGTTTTCCAGAAAGGAAATCCATGGAAAAAAATACCTTGCCGTTCATTAATTGACTACTGCCGCGCGCAACTTCTTGACTTTCTTTCGATCCATCGTCACAACTGAAGTCCAGCTTGGTCTTCATTATTATTGCGCCCAACTTTGCCTTCACCTTAGCTTCGTCTCTGAAGATTCATTGTATAAACTTCACACAACATTCTATATGTTCTTGATAAGGTGGTGAGCTTTCCATCTCCGTTCAAACGCTCGAATTCCTTCCGGTTATATGCACTGGCTTTGCGTTTCGAGCGTAATATTTCCATAATGAGATTTGTAGGGAAAATTTTCCTTATAACTGCTTTGCCCGGCTTATTTTCCACTACATTAAAAATGTGACAGATATTGGTACTTATATTGATACAGAAACGCTCACGGGTTCGTGAGTAGAACTCACATCGAGTGGGCCTCGGCGATATCTGACGACGTGATGCATAAGCTAATAAATTGACCATTTGATCTTTTAGCTCCTTCTCTGAACAGCAAATCGCTATTTTTTATCACCAAGATAAGAAACGCAAACCAGTGTCTTACAGCGTAATTGCGGCTAGGAGTTGATTCCGAATGTGGAACTGCGAAGTACAGGAGGGAAGGATTCATCTTTTCAGCGGGGTCAATATGTTGAGTTGTTTGACATTTCCATGCGGACGCACAACTAATGTTCAGTCTATTCCATGTTATTCCTGCCTTTCTTGCGGTAGAGAACAAGAAGAGTATCATACCAAAGATGCAGTGCGGTTCCTCTCCTCTGGTTGTGCAGAGCCTACTAAACAGCTCTGCCGCGCGGCGTGAACGAATGGAGTTCGGTCGTTCCAGCTTGAGTTACTCGTTTATTTTGGGAAGCACGATTTTTTACAGCAATATGAGAAAGAATTATAATGTCTATAAGATGGTAGGTAGCCCACTGATAGTGGCGCTCAGTACGAGCAAAGCGCTGGTTCGCCCCCCCCCCCCCCCCCCCCCCACCTCCCTGAGGTCCAGCAAGCTTGCAATCATTCCGGAGTCGGAAAATTGGTGCCAGGTTTACCATCGGCCAACCACCCTCCTTCCTTATGTACGTGGGACGCCCTAGTACGGCTATTTCAGTATTCTAGAGATAATTGACTCGACATATATTCAAAGACATTTGTAAGGAAGAAGACTCAAGCAGCACCGACCCCCACGTTAAGGTTCGAAGACCTTCGTGAAGACTTTTGTGGATACGAGCGAACAAGTCGAATGCAAGAAGTGCTGAGATCTAGACAACATTTAATGTCAAGTCATGCAAAAAAAAATTTCCACAAACCTAAAAAGAGAGTCAAAGAACGGGTCTCTTAGAATTTCCTTCCCACATAGCCTCGCCTTTGGCGTATAAATGAGTATTTTCCCGAGAAAAAACACTATGTCCGGACGAGCCGAGGGAAGCAGCTAGAATGAAACAGCTTTGGTTCCGAAGCTACGAAATGTTTTTGAACTGTAACAAATGATGGTAGAGAGCTGTAATGCGAGAGCATGTTTTTTGTTATTTGTAGCCAATACTTTGAGCTACAATGGGACACTGTGATAGCGTCGTATAGATCCAGTACGGATGTTTTCCGTGCATAAATGGCATCTATGAACCTATTTCGTTTCTGATAGATCCTTTTCTGAAGAAAATATCAAATGAAGATACAACAGCTTTACGCGAAGATGGTACATTAAGATACGACTGAAGATAAGATGCATGGATTTACAACAGGTTCATGTTCTATTGGCCAATCGATATTTCATTTTTTTGTGTTCTTTACTGAAATAATTCCTCGATCCTTCGGAAATATGAGATACGAAGTCTTGCACTATTTAAGGCACAATTGATTAAAGATTTCGACACAACTAAATTTTTTGTAAAGAATAAAACTGGCCAATTCTCCACTGAATGAATAATTTAGAACCCATTTGGGACGTCGACCATGTAGTACAGAATTTATTTTCCAATGTGGAGTACGGTATTTATGAACGTTTGCGGAAGTGGAACTGCTCTGAGGTGGGTTTATCATAAAATAAAACAAAGCTTTCGGCGTTGATCAATCTCCGAGGGATGCGCCATGCATTCGGCTTCACTAAGCATTGTTGGACGTGAGTGAATCCTACACTTTACAACGCTATGCCGACGAATATGCATATCTGGCGTTTACAGTGACCTGCGGTGGCCTTCCGATAAATCGAGCCGGTGCTGTTATCCTTCCAGACAAGTCTAGTACCAATTTGCCGACTCTAGAGGGATGGAAGACTTGGTGAGCCATGGGTGCGAGGATCTATCTCATGTGCAGTGCAGTCCGCCTCCGACTACTGCGCCACACGCGCCCTTTGGGTTTATCGTAGGGGAAAAAATAGCACAAGCCCTTAAACTCTTCATTTCGTTCTGATTCCTGAATGAGCGATCCTTCCTGGGTGCTGCAATGTCCGGATGTGTAGCGGAAAAGATATAAACTTTACATTCGTCTTGTGCTGGAAAGTGTCGTACCTTGGAGATAAAAAGGTGTTCTCGGCCAATTTTTGATTCTTTCGTTCTCTCCACCTGTCCATATCGTTGTACACTTTACAACGCTATGTTGACGAATAATTGCCTGATCTGTGGAACTTTTCGCTCTGTCCTTTAGTCTTCTTTCATTGAGAGTGAGTTCTTTTTTGATTATCTAGTTTAAATTCATTTTTGATGCACAGATTTCTAAGTTCCAAAGAGCTGCTAATGGGGGAGGGACAGGAATATGGTTGAGACAGAAGAATGAGACATGCTGTTCTAAATAGAACAGGTGAAGCACAAATTGAGACTGGTATCGTCAAGACCGCAAACTTCATGGGAAATTTCTCCTTGTGAAATTTCTCCTTGAACAAAGTTGAGATATTAAGTGCCAAATCGTCATGCAACCAGGTGACGGTCATCTTGTTCATGGTACTCCGAGCACTCAAATTGATTCATAGCGGCTTTCAAACTAGTTCGAAGCTTAGCCTCGGTTTAAATGCTAACCACTTGGCACTTGAGTTGATTTTCAATTCTGCCTAGAACCTACGACATCAGACGCAATCGTCAAATGTATCAACCTTTCGCATACAATGAGACAACACCGAGTACATTAAAACCAAATACTGACGAAATAGCCTGCGAATGGCGCTCATTGGCAGATGTAAAACTTTTGCTCTGTAGAGAATTTCGTTGTGAGGTTGACCAGACGGTGCTTCCAAAGTTGAGACCCCGCTTAAGGTTCTCAGTACAATACAGTGTTTATCAACTTTATTGGATTCTCTAATGAAGGTGATCAATGTACTAGAATGATTACAAGTTTCTAATTCGTTCTATTACAAAGACTTTCGTAATGAACCAAAAAACAAACTCTTTATTAGTTTGAACCTAGGTCCTCGCAAGTCACTTTCTCGGTTTACTCATAAACGTCTCGCTACTTTTTCAACTATTTCGACAACTATCTCGACAGAAGTGTTTGGCCAGCAATCAGCTGCAGTAGTGATGCCGTTCATCACAAGCACGATGCTAATTCGACACTGTATCGGACTCGCCAAACTTGCCATCCCTACTGGGTCGTAAAACGGTGTCTGTCGGGGACCAATCCCCTCCCTCCAGTCCACGTGGGAACGCCCTTACATAGGGCTTCAGAAATAACCGGTTCGACCTGCGTTCAACGACATTCATAACGAAAACGAAAATCCTCGAAGTGCAGTCGAGCAACACGTAAAAATTTCGAAAAAGCATGGTCGATGACGGATAGGAGGAAACGAATCGAATGCAAGAAATGTTGTAATCCGCACAGTAGGTTTGAAGATGAGTTATGTGAAATAGAAAAGAAAGTGAATGCAACCAAAATAAGAGAAAGGCAAAACAAGATCTTCAGTTGTGCAGTGAGCAACACGCGAGCCCTCGGAAAGGGTAATCGTGGTTCGATTTGGCCTGAGGTCAGAGTTTTGCGAGTACTTCAGCATCATTGTGATTGCATTTTACATACTACCCTGTCGTGAAGACTATAAAAGATAAAGAATAAAGCTCTTGGCGTTGATCAATCCATGAGGGATGCGCCATGCACTCAACTTCATTAAGTATCGTTGGAGGTGATTGAATGCATATCTGGCCTTTACAATGACTCGCGGTGGCCTATCGATGTATCGAGCCAGTGCTGCTATCCTTCCAGACAAGTCTGGTACCAATTTGCCGAGCTCGGAGGGATGGAAGGCTTGTTGGGCCATGAGCGCAAGGATCGATTCCACGTATGTGTCGCGGCGGCGCCTCCAAGCACTGCGCCACGTGAGAAACTATAGTAAACGGAAAATGAAAGTTTATCACAAAGTAAGTGCTTGAGATATGGCATTTACATATTTGTAATTAAATAACAGACAGCAATTTCTACACATTGTTATTGAAATCCACCATACCGCTCCCAGTCCTGTCCCAGCGCATCGTTCCACCATGCTATCCATTGCCTTCGGAATTTTCATTGATCTAAGGAGAGCAACGTTTTAACAACACAGTGCAATTTTCATCACAAGCACAATAAGGATGTTTTGCTTTCTGTTCAACAGGAAACTACTTGTTTTACGGAAAATCATTTAAAGAAATTACAAGTGTAAAATTTTACGAGAACCAAACCTTAAATCTGCTTCTGTAGGACTTCCGAGGGCTCGACGAATTAGCTTCAATTGGTGCTTCGTATCTCGACCAGGGAAAAGAACATTACCCTTAACCATCTCACCTAATACACATCCTGCAGACCAGATATCTGCAACATAAAACTTTGACATAGTCAAAATAAACAAAAATTGTGCACGAAACGCTCCGTGATGTGACAGTCACCATTGTTCCACTTTTAGGGTGGTTACTTTAGTTGAAAACTGTTTGTTGTATAAATCCTTTCACTATGGGGTTACCAGGTTCTGAGGAGGTTCTACAACTATACTTGTGAGCGAATGATTGCTCATCCTGTAGTCAGAGCTTAGGATAAAAGCATAAAAAATATAGCATCGACATTAATGAATCCCTAAGGGAAACATTGTGCATCCAACTCCATTAAACATCTTAGAGGTGATCGAATGCATGTTTGACTCATACAATGATATTTCGGGACCTGTTGATGTACCATAAGGCGGTTTTATCTTCCTAGACAACTATGGCATCAATTTCGTGAACCCAGTGGGATTACAAGCTTCGTTAAAACAGTGTGGATATAAACGAACGCAGACAGCGCGTCTTACCTATAACCACACCGGTGTAGGTGCCACACCATAGCTTGGGATATCTTTCATTAACACCTGAGTACAACATCACTTAATTCGTGAAGTTTCCCAGACTGAACTCAAGTATTCGTTCGGGTAGTCTTCATGGCTGCACCCACCGATTGTCCAATTATAGTTCTCGGCTCCAAGTAACAGTTCCGGTGGACGATAAAACCTAGTCACCTGAAAAAGGATACACCATGTGTATCACCAAGTCTTTTTCGAAGGTTCAGATTCAGTACTTGATATGGTGTTGACGTCATTCCTGGTCGTACGATTTTTGCTGAACCAAAATCGCCGATTTTCAAAAGCCCTTGAGCGTGATCTGCGAGTATATTCACCGGTTTTATGTCGCGATGCATTATTTGTAACTGAAATTGAGAATACAATCATTAGCGCCCACTCAGAAATACGTTAATGAACAATGTTCCATTACACATACCCTACTGAGATACTGTAAACCATTGAACATTTGCCACGTGTAGAGTTTTATATCGACAGTATCCAACGAATTATTCTCGATCAACGTTCCCAATGTGTCAGGCATAAAATCGAAGACAAACGATTCGCATATCTGCAAATCTATCATAGTGTTAGTTAACTGCTTCCCCATGTTGGAAACATTTGCGTGCTGGCTGCATGTTGGCGGTTTACATGTTCTGCAGACGAATACGAAAGTTGGGCTACGGTCAAAGGATACCGATGGCTGATCGCTTATTGCGTTACGGTTAACACCTGCGAAAACTGTGTGGTTACGGCAAACTCTCGCGCTGTTCCCATCATTCGCCTGTTCGGTCGCTGATATTCGTGTAGGAGACGGGAAGAATGAAGCCCAGCTTTCCATAACGGCGATCGATAGCGCACAAGTGAAGAATGGCCTTCCCTCACCAACGGCACTACAAAGCCCCGCTCCCCAACCCGAAATGCGCCCGACACCTCCGTTTTTGTCGTGACCATTCATACATTTATCTACTAGGAACCACCACCCCTTTGTCTTCATAGCGTCCAACTACGTTTTTTCTAATCATATCGTTTTGTTTTGAATCTGTATGAGCTTCAATCTTCGGACAGTGTCATGGGTAAAGTTAATATTCATCTCCGAGAAGTCTATCTGTCACAATCTGGCTCGATTTAGTAGCACGTCAGTTTTTGGGAGTGCTATCAAGTTGTAAATTGTTCTTTTTGCAACTCATTGTTTCCTTGGTAAGCACACACGAACTTGTTACGAGAGTACTTATTAATGGAAGCTGATGCAGTCAGGTAAATACCTCCATAACCTCAACAAAATCTACGAAACCTAAGTTTCAACCGCGATGGCTTCATCACATACTCACGGTTTTCCATGAGTTTCACCGAGTTTTCCATGTAAAGACACCCATGCCGACCTCACATGGTTGAGTAATGCCCCCTCTAAAGTTAGAATATCAGTCTCTGATATGTAAAGGATAAAGAATAGGCCCTATGGCGTTGAGAGTTCCCTTGGGGATGCGCGGTGCGTGGGATCGAACCAACAACTATCTGCGTATTGAAGAGCATCTCCAATCACTGCGTCCTATACAATGCTCATATCACTCCATATCTTTGCCTTTATCGCTCTACTAGAAGGTGATCGGAAGACAGACTTTTTAAGACGACAATTATTTATTAGATTGAAAAGACATTTTACGATACTTTGTAAAATTTTTCTTACAAACTCTTAATAATAGAAAGATTTGCGGATTTTAACACTACGATACAGCAATGATCCGAGCGAACTCTGGTTCTGGACCATAAAGAAAGATTTGCGGGTGAAACGGTTGAGCCGAGATCTTCAGGCTGAACTCAAGGATGACATCAAGCATGATGAGATCGTCGTAGGAGTTGTAAACAACTGGTATCGAGCAGATGACGATGTGTTGAGGATATCTGGCTAAGCTAAGAGCTTTTTTAAACCCCACTCCGTCAAATGCAGAATTTTCAGGAACTTTCTGCGTTTTAGTTTTGCTTTTCAGCTTAACATATGTTTATTGCAACGTCATTAACAGTAACGCTACCTCTTTAACCTCATTTCTTACTGTGGATTAACATTATTGTTAACTGTTAATTTAATTGAAAGTGAAGAGACGATTCTGAATTTATTGTGGTCTAGACACTAGACATTTTTTTCGTGCAAAACCTACCCCTATTTTTTCATTTGAAAATCAAACACCAAATTTTTTGTGCACTTATTTCTACGGATGTTTACTGTATTCAGCCTTCTTCATGATAAATAGAATACCCTCAATCGATGGAAATGGGAAGATGGCGAATAAATCTTGCTCCCTGAGCTCACAAAGTTGTACTAATAGGCAGTAAAGGTGAGATATGAAGAATAGAAGCGCGAAATTGCTCGTTTGTCGTTCAATTTTTGTAACGGACATATTCGTCCGAGTGGTGGTATACTACCGTGCTTCAGCCATTAATGAGCTGCTGTAATAAATCCAGGACTGATTGGAAAGACCACAACATTAGTAACTAGTTAATTAATTAAAATCAAATTAAATAATTAGTAAATAGTAAAAAGTAGGTAATTAGTAATCTACCACTACCCTACTTTTTCATTTGAACATCAAGCACCAAATTTTTTATGCAGTTATTTCTGTTGGTTTGCTGTACTTTCATCGTGGTAGAACACCCTCAATCGATTGAAATACCAAAATGGCGAATAACTCTAGACTCCAGGCTCACGAACTTGTACTAGCAGTAAAGCAGAGACATGAGGAATAGATTTTTTAATGGACATATTCATTTCAATGATGGTGTACTACCGTACCTCTGACATGAAGTGCTGTGGTGAACCCAGTACTGATTGGAAGACTAGAACACTAGTAACTGATCATAAGCAAAGTGATCCTTTTACTTATGACCTGTTGAAGTTGCAGTGGAGCATGTATTCATATCATAATTCAATTCATGCGATACACTTTTTAGATTTTAATTTACCTGCTAATCGCTTTTTTTATTCTTAAATTTACCTATTAATTAGGAAGCGTGTTGCGCAGTGGTCGGAGGAGCCGTGCAATACACACAGGATCGACCCCAGCGCTCAAGGCTCACCAAGCCCTCCACCCCTACAGGGTCGGCAAATTGGTACTAGACTTGTCTGGGAGGATAGAAGCACTGGCTCGATATAAAGACCAGATATGCATTCAGTTACCTCCAAACGATGCCTAATGAAGTTGAATGCGTGGCGCATCCCTCAGAGATCGACCAACGCCGAGAGCTTTATTTTTACCCATCAATTTTAACTTAGAATCTTCATAGTTAAATCGTCTACGAACAGAATATGGTTAATGGCTAGGAAACTGCTATCGCTTCTCTAAAGTGAATTACCCGATCGTCTCGCTTGTTTGAGAAAGCGTATATCATTTGTACGATGTTTTTGTGTTTCTCTCTGCTGATTCCAGTGAGAAAGATCATTTCAAAATTACGGTCTTTGCTTTCTGAAACGTTTGTTTTATTTTCAAAAAGTAGCACTCTATTGAATTAATGTGGCTAGAAGTTACCTGGCCATGTTTTCTTTATAGCGATTTCTCTCGGTGCATCTCCAGGTGATAAAAGTGTACCTCTCAAAGTCAAAAGTTATCCTTGAGAAGATTGACTATGAAAGTTGTAACATCATCTCTTTCCAAGCATGAAGAACAAGTAGGCACTAACTTCCATTTGATTTGGAATTTGTTGTTCACGCAATTTTTTTTTACTACGGTCTCAAAATTTTGGAACTGCTTTCCATGCTAGAGCTTTGCAAGTTCATCATCACAAGCAGTCCTCCACCCTCATGAATTGAAGACGGTTTTTCCACCTTGCGGGTAAACTACTATAGGGACGGCAGTGACTCATTGCATAATCTTAGGCTTAGTTGAGCTTTAGGATGACATTTGAACCCTTCTCAGCTTCAGAGGCTCTGCTGTAGAATATGATTCCACTCAATTCATAATACTAAACCAAGGAACACTCCACACCTACGATCAGGAGATAACTCATCAGGGGGTCAGTACATAACATACATTTCTAACATTCAAAGAATCCTAGTTCTGGAAGCCTCCGTGAGAATGCTTAGTTAAAAGTCTTCCATACATTTGTTTCGAAAAATGATTCCTTGATTTTAAGTTGTGTTATTGGTCGCCCAACTATGGTACCAATCCCACTACACAGTCAGTGATAGATGATAGCTGTTGATGACTTTCAATAAAAAACTGCTGAGAATAGCCTTAAGAAATTCCAGCAAGTGTAATGTACCGCTCATAGCGCTAACGAACAAAGGAATGTTGATAATACTTCATCCATTATGCAATTGATAACGAAAGTTCTCTTTCAGTGTTCTTCGTTTCGAAGTCCAATCTCCACTGGAGAATAATTCTCTGCTGTGTGAATTGCGATCGAGAGCAGAGGGAAACAGCGCCAGTAAGGGGGAATCATGGTTCTAACTACCTAGACAATTTCCGCAAAAGTACTCCCCTGTCTATTGGACAGCCTATTATAAATATGGAACCCTTTATTCAAAAAGCGTACCTGTAAACATTACTAAATACTCCGCTTGCATGTAAGTGCAGATTTGTCATTCTCAATTTAACGTTCTTCATCTCTGGCATTTCCTTTGCTGGCTAAATAATTAGGCATTTAATAATTTCTCCTTCTTACAAAGATAAATCAAGTAGGACGATAGATGTCCACACCTGCTCGACGATTTTCTCGCTCATTCTGGTGAGTACACGGCTTCTCGACTTCCTACGAGTTTTAAAATTAAGCAACTGAACCACATCACTTCATGGTTGGAGAGGAACACAGTGGATAACTAGCTGTCAGTCTATTTGTCATTCCTTCTTTATGTCCTTCTAAACGTGTATGTTAGCGGTCGATTTTATTTTTGTGCCACCTCGGCTAACGAAAGTACTTTCTACGTAACCTTGGTGAAATAACTTTTTACCACTGAGCGTCATTTGTTTTGATCTCTAGAAATAGAAAAATTCAGCATGTCTGTGACATCGGCGAAGCATAAACTTTCTTTCAAACGGTCCTTTTGATGTAATAACTTTTTGCAAAACTCCCGACCGTAGGTGTCTGCGGTGTGGAACGAAAGCGTTATTGTCCCATCCGGGTAGTAACGCGTTCACCATCACACCATGCGGACCCTTCGTTTCGCCTGACTCTCAGCTAGTTCTATCGATCTCTGCCATCAGCAGTCACAGGTTAATAGCGCATTCGTTCCCCACTGCAGACACCTGCGGTCCGGAATTTTGCAAATATCTCAGCAATGTTGTGATTGTATTTCGCTTAATACCCTGCCATAAAAATTATAGAAGGCAGAAAGTAAGAAATAAAACGTAATAACTTTTTATTTACTGCCTATTCTTTTTTCATGGCAGGGTATGATGTGCGAGTCACCTGCGGTTCGGGGTTTTGTAAATAACTCAGTATCACTGTAGTCCTTTCGATTTTTATCTACGTTTTTTTCTAAAATATATTTTTTTGTTTTATTGCATGGAATTTTATAAAGTGCAAATAAGAGTAAATGGGGCATGCGACACTAGTCCGTTCTTCATGAACGTCGTTTTTGTGGGATTTAGTCGAAACAGTCGAAGATAAAGTGGGCCGGACACGTAATGCGTATGAATGACAACCGATGGACAAGAGCCGTTAGTGACTGGGTTCCTCGGGATGTCAAACGTACTGCATGAAGACCACCGACCCGATGGTCAGAGTTCTTCACAAAGAGCCTTGAAGAAAGATATGATGCTCGACGAGTCCCTAGAGCGAGCAGAACACACGGGGCTACTCTTGCACGCGACAGGGAAAAATGGAAGATTTACTGGCGCCTGCTCGAGTCGCTCGACGATCAGCGGGACTACAGGTGATACAGGTGATACATACAGTAGAGTACACAAGCTCGATTACCCACCACCACTTTGGGGCCATTTGTGACCGTATCAAGACTATATTTCCACTGATGTCCATTCAGTGAAACGATAGATGATGGTTTCTTAATCGTGGAAGAACTCATTCCTCTACTGGCTATTCTTGAGAAAGTCGTGTACTGTAAAGTCTTAACCAGTTAGTTGGTAGGACTAGAATATGGTGGCACATTATAAAGAGACTGAATGACGCACATTTCTTGTATGCTTTCTTTAGGGCTTATATTTCCTTCATGAGACTTTGGCAGTCTACACTCTATTACACCAAACATCACGGACAACAAAATATCGGAATGAAGTAACGTCTAACATAAATGGAATCCTTTGAGACATCTTAATAGACCGCCTCTGATGTTGAAATAGAAGAGTCACATTTACAAATACAGCAGTATTTTAAATACGGGATGCTTTTTCGCCTTCACTTATTTCATTCTTCTATTAAAGGGGCTATGTAGAAAGTACAAACGACTCGTAGAGACATAGGACTTGGATTAAATTGCGCCGTTGTATATGTTTAGATAACTGTATTACTATTGAGTAGTATTTCGAAACCGACCTTCCCTAAACCTCGGTGTGACCAATCAATATGTATTCTTTCTTGATAAGCTTGCACGAGGTTGATAAATATATTTATTTTCGGCTAACGTTTCGACGTCTTCGTCTTCCTCAGAGCCGGTGATCCAAGTCGATGGTCCATGCTTGTTGTTCAACCTCGTGCAAGCTTATCAAGAAAGAATACATACTGAGTAGTAGTTATCGAATAAGTCATAGAAATGCAACTTTAAGAGATAATGATACGGAGAGTGTAGAGCGGCGAGACATACACGATCGTTCACGCATGCTTGAATTTGGCGCTTTCAGTGGTAGTTGACACCATAGTTGTGCTACTTAGGATAGTGTGGTTGGACAATTCCACGTGACTGAAGACGTATGCCATGCTAAATACCAGTGTAAGTGTCAATTCAATGACATTTTCAGAATAGAAGAAGCCTGTGCGGAAGTTTACAGTACATAAGATTTGATTGTGTTTTATTGAGAAGTCCTGAAAATCCGGCTTAATACCACCACCACACCATGCGGGTCCTCGCCTGTCAGCTAGTTCTATCGATCCCTACCATCAGCAATCAGCCGTTAATAGCGCGTTCTTTCCCCACCGCAGACACCTGCGGTCCGGAATTTTGGAAATATCTCAGAGTCATTGAAGTTATGTTTTGCATAAACCCTGCCGTTAAAAAGAGTAGACAGTAAATAATAAGTCAAAATATTTGATGAATAGTTCCTATAGGTTTACTCTTAGCTGGGATTCCTGATAGGAACGGTGGATTCCTTCTCAACCTGGGAATCGCTACAGGAGGAATGGATCCAACTGCTGTTAACCGCAGCCTGACACCCAATAACCTCTCCCACCAACGGTAAGGCGGTAAACTGTTGGGAGGGCGAACACAGCTGCAGGTTCAAATCCTGCCATTTCTGTAATATCATATCTTCAGACCGGCTCTGATCCACGCCTGACTCTTCATTATAAAGGATTGGAGCTTGTCTCCCTTTATCTCTGTATTCTATGGAGTTACGGTCACGATGGACGACGTCAAGCAGAGCAACGATCTGTCGCGATGCGAACGTTTTGGCCGCGCTCGCGACAGAGCGGGAACGACTGAAACGCAGTCTCGGTGGGCCGTCTGGCATAGTTCTCGATTGCCCATTACGTGGGTTGACACTCTGTGGATAGGTCACTCTCTGGAAGATTGGCTGTGTAATTCAATCATATGTTTTGTCCATTTGAACTGTTGAAATCTGATGAGCTGGAGGTTCCGGATGTTGCTATGAAGCGCGCCAAAATTTTTTCTCTCTTCTTTCTTCCACTTTTATGCTAACAGTACACGTTTCTAGCGTGCTAAGAAAGTTTTCATTCAATCTATTGACCATATTAACTTAAAGACAGCAGGATAATCAATCTTAAAGTCACTGACTGTCTTAGCCTCGTTGTGACAAACCAGAAGCTGTTCATTTTCACAGGTGGTTGTTTGTAGTGTCAACTCAAAGCGGAGCTTCACTCTAGTAGAGACCTCTTCTACCGCTTTGATTCGATAGTTGTCTTTTCCGAGTTCATCAATGAGTTGAATCGAGCGCCGGTGTCGGCCCGGTGTGACTCATCGCTGAAGTTTATGGAAGCGTTGGGGCTAAACAAGGCTCATATTTATAAGCAATCAATGGCTTACCTTAACGTATTATGCTGACCACATTTGAATCCTGTATGAGACATTCTAATCTAAACTTTTCGGCATCTCTAAGCGTTTTTGTTTTCTTTCGAACATTTTTACCCTTCGAAAAGTTTAGTTCACTGCGCTTAGTGCATTAGTGTCTCACTTTTTTAAGAGTTAAAGAAGTACTTAGTAAGCCTAATACTTCTAGGGTTTTGAACTTTCCACATGAATTAAGGCTTCTGTTTTTTAGTAGCACAAATATGCTCTTCAATGTTTTGGTCGCCCCGGTTCTTGGAAAGGATCCGGATACTCTGAGGGCCTGAGATCGTCTACACATTCACACTAGTTACGTTCGTTATTTTTCAGTTTATTTAATATCAAACAGCGAGAAATGGCAGAGTTATCACATATTGCTAACCAATACGTCGAGGTTTACGAAGCTCTTTTCAGAGAGGTAAGTTGTTCTTAAATTAGTTGCAGTTTTTTATTTATATAGTTTTATTTTTTTATTTCTATAAAGGGGCGCTTGTTGCGCAGTGGTCGGAGACGCCCGAGGCCCACCAAGCTCTTCATCCCTTCGAGGTGGGCAAATTGGTACCAGACTTGTCTGGGAGGATGCCAGCACTCGCTCGATATAACGGTGGACCATCGCGAGTCATTGTAAAGTCCAGATATGTATTCAACCACCTTCAGCGATGCTTAGAAGTCGAATGCATGGAGCATCCCTCAGAGATTGGTTAAGACCAAGAGCCTTATCCTTTATTCTTTATGCAGTTTTATTGGAAGTTATTCAGTACTTTTTGAGGAACAGAAGTCAAGTTCCTTATGTTTAAGGACCTTTTATAGTTAAAACTGCGTTATGGGTTGTCAGTTACAGTTTTCAATCTCAGGCAAACCCTGCGAATCTGCCGGCTATCGCCGCTGTTGACGCAGCAGCTTTCTTGAGGCGTTCCAATCTTAGCGTGCAACAATTAGGGCAGGTAAGACCTTGTTAAAGAGACATGAAACTGGTTTCTCCTAACGTGGCTGTAGATTTGGGAACTAGCAGATTATCAGAAGAAAGGAGTTCTGGATAAGAACGGTTTCTTCATAGCGTTAAAGCTCGTTGCTGCTGCTCAACAAGGTAGGCCTATGTGGTCTCATTTTGAAGATCCCAAACGCACGGAAGTTTTAGTCTAGTGTTACAGGACTTCCTATTTCTCCTGCTTCCATAAGTATTAACACTTTAAAACCTCCACATTTCGAAGGAATTCCTGACAAGAGCGCTGTTTCCATGAGTAATCCGCCGTGTCATGACGGTTTAAATCCAACGGGTTGGTGTATTAGTGCTGCGGATCAGGTTAGAAATGTTTTGTATGCCGTGCTACTTTTTTGTACAAGAATTTTTTGTTAGTCGTTTTCATACTTTGATTTCCATTTGCGCTATGTTTTTTGAGTCTCTTGCCCAGCACCTTAGGAAATTTTTAAAATTTTCTTTTGAAGGAGGTGGAACATCTGCGCTTTCAGTTTTCTTAGGAAACAAACATTTAGGTTAAGTACGATTCAATATTTGATTCACTATGTCCTGTGGATGACAAACTCCCTGGTGTAAGAGTGAAACTGGTATTACTAAACTCTGGGTTAAATCCAGCGATTCTGGCAAAAATATGGGAATTAGCCGATCAAGACAAGGACGGACAGCTGGATAGAATTGAGATGGCGGTTGCAATGCACCTAGTTTACAGGTACTGATCTCCGATACCTGCTGTTTCTTCTTTGGATCCACTTAATGTCGTTGGCTTTAGGGCGCTGCAGGGTGATCCAGTTCCTGCTGTTTTGCCCCATTCTCTAATACATCCCTCAAAAGTTACTCTCACAAGACGCACATCAACTTCATCCATGAACACTGGGAATGCCCATCCAAACATCCCAATGCCTCTTCAGGCTCGGTATAGCTTCGACCAATCCGGTGAGGTTTTTTTCGATTAATGATCGTAGATAGCGCATTTTTGTTTCGGTACTCTAGATTTGTAAATAGACAGAATCTTGAAAATATGATTCCTTCGCAAATGACTGTTATAAGGGCTGTTGATACGACAGAAATTGTTTCGCAATTGTCTCTTTGTTCTCTGCGGAAGCGTATTTATGGTTTAAGAGCAAACTGTGCATAAAAACAAGAATGAAAATGTTTTAGGTTATCGCTCACGAGCTGGGAGCATGACTTCTCTTGATAGTATTGGACGTCCTCATATGATGTCGCATTTGGAAAATAGAAGTGCTTCAGTGCAACCGAACTATGTCTCAAGAAACGAAAGCGTGGTTAGTTAAACTTGGATACTTGGATGACCTGTCCGCACTGGTTGCGCGGGCCTCAGCAAAATTTCCATTGTTTCGGAGTTTTGTTGGTTTAGCCATTGTGGTTCCATGGAGTTCCGTGGTCAGCTTAGGCAAACTGCTACAGGTCGTTATCACCACAAGTAGTCGCCGCCCTTGTGGATCAGAGCAAGATTTTCCACCATGCGACTAGTCTGATACCAAGACGGTGGGGGAGTCCTTGAATTAGTTTGGTGTTAGCTCGGCTTCCTGATAGAAACACCGAACTCCTTCTCAGAAACTTTGCCTAGGGGATGATTCCCCAACTGTACATCGCACCCCAAGACCCAGGAATACGTTTGAACCACGATGAGGCGGTAAACCGTTCGGAGGGGTTAGTTAAAAGTGTTTGTAAATCGTGCTATGGACAATGAATGTCTGTTAACACGAATGTTGATGTTTCTTTGAATTTACTTAACAATAAGTTGTCGAGGAGTCATTCTAGCCCGCTACTCCTGTGCGTGGAATGGGTGCCCCTTTATCCACTAGCAGCAATACATCGCTTGAATGGCCTGTCGACCGATTGTCCTCAGTAGGACAGTTTGCTGCTTGCGACACGGATTCCGATGGTTACGTCAACGGCAACGATGTAAAACACGTACTTCTTGGGTCAGGTAAGAGTGATTTAGGCATGGAAATGTTTCGTTTCTGCAATAAAGAGTTTTAATAGCGTGTAGATTGTCATCTTTTTCTTTTAGGTTTACCACAAACGGAACTAGCTCAAATTTGGGCACTTTGTGATATTAATCGCACCGGAAAGCTCAACCAGGAACAGTTTGCTCTGATGTGTGTCAAACTTTTGCAACATTTTCTTTTTTAAATAGTCCAACTTTACTTTTGTTTGCGTTGAGGAATTTAGTGGTTGTGCAAGAATTGAGACCTCTGCTTAGTTCCTGCTTTTTGATTGTTCTTCGTCCATTTTCAGCAATCATCTGGTCGTAATGAGGAAACGTGGGGAGGAGTTGCCATTAACATTGCCTCCGTTTTTAATACCTCCATCACTTCGAGTTGTTTCGGTTCCTGTGAGTGGAAGAATTTAATGTTGTCGTTTTACATCCTATGTCAGTTAGAGTTGGTTCTTTCGCTTAGTTCATTAGAATTTTTATTTTGTCACCGTTTTCCATGCATGAAATCTGTATTCTGTTCTAAAATTACTACTTACCTGGATGTTTGGATGTCCCGTTCCCACTGATTGTGAGGGCCCCATCACAATTTCCATTTTTTTTTTCGGTGTTTTGCTGCTTTAGCTATTGTGTTTTGCTGGAATCCCGAGGTCAGTCTAGTCAAGGTCCGCCCAAGGTCATCATTACCACAGGCAGTCGCCGCCCTTATCGATCAGAGGGAGATTTGCCACTATGCGACTAGTTTGGTACCAGAACAGTGACGAATCCTGGTACTCCTGATGGAAGCGCTGGACTCCAGGGGCTGCTGGAGGATGAGAGATGAATCCCCCTCGCTGTACATCGCAGCGTAACATCTTGGATCACCTCTCAGCCATGATGAGGCGATGTACCGTTGCCCTCCGTCTCACCATTTCAAATTGCTCTCGTTTTGGTCCATTTTCTTACATTTCAACCTTTTCACGACTCTTTTAATTCTGCATTTATTCATTTTAATTTTCTATCCTCAGAGTTCTCTTGCATTACTGACATCTTGATACTGTATATCCTGTCTACTACCAACCCACTCGAAAATTTCATTCCACGTTAACAAGTGGATTTCGGGTACTTACTTATTATATATTTATATATTTATCAATTAAAGGAAAATGGAGAGGCGGCTGTGGAAGCAAACTCGACCAATGCAAGTATTAGCGGAAGTGGTTCCGATGAAATGCATAAACTTGCCGAAGAAATGGAGAAGTTGCTTTCCGATCGCAGGTAGTGCCGTTTATCCGTTTTTCAGAACAGTTCTCTCTACCTTGCACTTTCTATGCTTGTCATTTAAGAGAGGCAGATATTCAAGTGTCGCAGCTTGAAGCTGATATGAAAGTAAAGGACAGCCAGATCAAAAACCTTCAAGTGCGTTAAGTTACATCTGTGTTCGTTTTTTGAGGGGAATATTGAGTTCGTTTCTGGTTTAGGTTGAGTTGCATACACTTGAGTTAACCGTTAAGCAGTTAGAGCGACAAAAAATGGAGGCTAATCGCCGTTTGGCTGATCTAGATGATCAGATTAAACAGCTGGAATTGGCATCTGTGGCCCAGGCAAGAAAAGCAGAAGAGGCTCAGACTAGACTGAATCAACTCGTGGAAGACACTCAAAAGGATGAAGCGTGTGCTGAAGTATGTTTTGCAATTATTAGACGTTCTTATGATCGTATATCATTTACAAATTGGTGAAATCGATGGTCGAATATAATTTTCTATGACTGATCAGCATATGTTTTTGAATACGAAGTACTAAAGAACATGTAAATTCTAGATCTTTCTTGGTGATCTCCTCACGAAAGCCTTAAAATAAGAGTTATTGATATCATTTATGAAGATGAAATGAAAGCAGGAGGAGAAAAAGACCTTGTATGAATAAGTTACTTCACTACCTTTATGGGAAAGCCAATATTCCAAAGGAGACGAATGTACGGTGGATATAGGGCGATATAGGGGAATGCGACTATTGTAAAGCTTTCATGAGTGCTACTAAAACTGTCAAAAGCTATCTGCCATCACCCATCTTCATCTTTAAGTTGTACGGATCTTTATGGCTGAAGAACCTACTCTTATCAGAGAGTGCTCAGATGCATAGAAGGGCAGTTAATAAAGATCTCAGTAGTAGAAAAAAAGTATCTCGATTTGGTGGAAGGAAGGGAAACGCAGTTCTTGAGAGTTGCACCAGCAACGTAGCAACAGTGTCAAACACAATACAGTGTTTCTTTAACGTTTTACAAGAAGCACTGTTATGCAGTTAAGAAAAGATGGATGTCAGTGTTATTTCGTATGTTTCGAGGTCGATCAGACCAAGAATTAATATTAAGCTGGACAAATGTTCACTCACTGTCTTCGGGTGTTCGCATGGATTCACAGGTTATAGTTCATCCATATAAAGTTTTTGTGAGAAATAAGCCTGTATTCGACGTCGCTCGATAGTGTGCACCTTTGCCGAACCAGGAATCTACATCTAGATGGGGTACTCAATAGTTGACCTGTTGTACTTGAAACAGAGACTAGGGCTCGAAGCGAGTGTAGCATGAACTCCAGAGTCGTTCCTTGAAGTGAAAAACCAATGAAAAGCAGTTGAAAAATAGTGACCGTCTATATAGTCGTTTTTCGACTGTACAATTTTCCTGCCTCAAAGTACATTTTATATGGATTACGCCAACAATAAATGTAACCGTTATTTATTTAGCTGTTAACCATAGCTGAGCTGTCATTGGCCATATGCGGAGTTGACCAACTCCAAATCGTGAACGTTCTTTGAATAACAGTAAGGCTGTTGAATACATCGTGCATTACATTACGGCTGCTGGAAAAAACCATCTCAAGATGAATCCCACAAGATCGCGAACGATAAGTTTCTTCTATTCCTCTCCACGCCGAAGATGTAATACCAGAGCGAAAGTTTTTTGTCTTCTGCTTACTTTTGAGCCAACTAATCTCTATCTCTGTAAGGTCTAACTTTGGAGGTAAGTTTCACTTCTATTTTAATATCTGTTATTCTTGAAGAATTCTCATATAGGATCAATGCTTATTCCTTGTGATTACTTACTCCTAAGCTGTTCTTGGTCTTTTAATTTGAATTCCTCAAGTACCTTGTTTATTGAAAAATATCAGGTTACCGAAAAACAAATATCGTCCGTTATATGTTAGGCATATAAAGTTCGGTTTTGCCAGTAATTGTTCGTTATTCCATTTGCATTCGTTATCGAGAATCATGACCGTCGTATGCAATAGTTGGGTTTAAGAACTAGGTATACCTCAACCGCTGTGAGTCGCACATAGCTCACAGAGTGAGCGACTGGAAATTGGGTGTGATACATGCCGGCCATACAAAATTAGGCACCATTGTCAATCGGTTAAATAGAATTTTTGCACTTGTTGGTGATAAATACGGCACGATTGGTTTTATTACAGGCAGATCAACTTGAAATTTCGCAGTTGAGGGCAGAGTTGGCACAGCTTGAGGTGCAGCGTCTCAACTTAACGTCTGAATTGACTCGTGAGAGGAATAGTATGGAAGTGGCTGTAGACAAGATCACCGAGGTGAGTGGAATGACTTTTTTTGAACCACTACATACTAGTGCTTTACCTAATTTAGCGAAATTATTTTCAAAATCTGATAATTATTGAATTTAGTTAACTTAACAGTTAAGTTAATTTAGTTTTGTTACTTGGATAACAGAGGTGTATCAAATTATGTCCGGTTTATAACTCGTATAATGCTGAGATATTTGCAAAACTCCGGACCGCAGGTGTCTGCGATGGGGAACGAAACCGCTATTGTCCTTTGCTATTAAAAAGAATGGGTAGTAAATAAAAAGATTAAGACTATGCCCGGTTTAGTTAGAACGCAAGAAACATCGTGACGAAGCACAATGCGTACAGCTGCAGGATGCTATAGCGCAAGCCAATACAGTTGTCAGCGACCTTCAAGCTGTTCTAAAGTCCGACGATTCATTGGTGTCTTTAACCTCGAAAATGCATCTCCTGGAAAATATTTCCAGAAATGATTTGGTACGTCTTTAACTGTTGGTTTTCTAACAGGTTATCGAGCAGAAATTCACTTTATGCGGATGGAAATTCGTTGGCGATCACTTGTTTCTTCTAATTTAATTTACGCTAATTGCAGTTCGAGGACATGCCTTTCGCTGTTGTGTCAACATCTGACCACTCCGCTTCTGCACATCTACCTCCTGATCTCTTCGTTCAGAGCGGTGTGAACTTCATTACTAGTTAGACTGTAGATTTTCAGCATGAAGATTTTCAATTTACATTTATACCGCTTTAGGTGGTAACCATCGTACTGATCCCTTTGCGCAAACCGATCCATTTGCTGCATGCGCTGCTCCAGGTATGATAGTAGTCATTATATGATGATGATGATCACTTTTTTTTCAATAAAGTGTATGTGATGGAACTGAGTCTTATAGGTGCATTTGCCGTTCAATTTCCACAAGATCCGTTTGGTGCGACTGCATCTTTGGGGAATGCATCTGCAAATGCTGTAAGCTGCCGTTTTAGCTTCACTACTTGTATACTTTTCAAATTTTCTCTTTCGTAACAGCGCCATGTAAGCTTAATAATCTGAAGAATCTGGAGAAGATTTCAGTTTTCAGAATAGTGGTGCACCACACAGATCATCATCAGCGGACGGAAATCAGCCCCCACCACGACCTGCACCTCCAAAGTCAAGTGCCCGCCAAACCCCAGTTCATGGAGATCCATTCACAAATACGTAAGTGTAATACTAGCTTTTTGTACCAGTTGTTTGTTGCAAAGTTTTTATTCCTCTCCGGTTTCTTCTGTACTAAAAGAAGAGGATTTGGTTGGACTCTACAGACCCCTGTCATATTCAAGTGTTGGGTGAATTTCGGCTCGTTCACACGTTCTTCTTTCCCGACTTTTATTCATTAATGGTTCTCATGTTTTTTTAAATGAAAATACAGCCATGACAATAGAATTTAGGAAAGTTTTTATGTGGATTAAGTTGTTCATATGCCGGAGTATCACGTCTTACTAGTGATTTCCTTCAAGTTTGCTTTGTTTCCCCATTGGCATGCCGGGAAAATGTGATGTTTCTTATTGGCCTTGATATTGAATACATCGACTTCTCTGATGCAGAAGAATTTTACGCCACTTTGTTGGCTTCATGCAACATTCGGTTCAACTGAATTATCATTTTTCGCTTTACTATAATAGAACGGCAATATATTTTGTAGGCTTCGCTAGGATTTGATATTCTGTCGCTGGGAATGAATTCGCTGCATGGGATTTTTTTTAGCGATGGCTGACTCTCTCTTCTATTTTGTGATTAAAGTAAATCTATTAGTGAAGAAAATGGGAACGTTATACGGTGCAAAAATATGGAGCGAAGGTGGTATCGGATTTATTCAATCTGTTGTTCACAAAGATGTATTAGATCTCCACATGAGCCGTACCATTGAGGGATCTCACGTTCAGTGGTGAAGATCTTTCGACTTGAAAAAAGTGGGACTGCCGATGATGCAAGATTGCCAATTTGGTTTCTCTACCCTTGAGTCGTTCCTGTCCGTGTATTGAAGGTGTCCTTAACAAAATTATACAGAGACTTACTGTAACGAATGAGTTCATCCAGACCAGACCTTCATACAGTATATGGAGTTCCGCATCATCGGCTATTGCGACTAGTGATTTTCTGGTGCGACTGAGGTAGGAGTTGGTGATACCGCTTTCCAACTCGTACTGAAGCCAAAGGTTAAAGTGGCAAAGCTGAGAGCCACATGTTATATAAATTGACGAATTAGGCAGAAGATATTTGCAGAATGGAACCAGTTACACTGCTAAGCAATGAAGTTTCACTTAAGTTTGCTCACTCAATTACGTTTTAGATTCTGATGGTTTTTTTTGTTTGAACATCTTAGCTGGTCAAGCTTAATATTCCCTAGAATTGTGTGACAACTTTGGTGGGATGCTTCCATCTCTTCACAGCAAGGAATTGTCGGTTCTTTAGGAAACGAGAGAGATTTGTTTTTTATTTTAAGGTTCACAGAAGAGGTTTCGCTGTTAATTGACGTACCGCTCGATGAAAGGGCGCGTGTGGCGTAGTGATCGGAGGGCACCCTGCAACACACAAATTGGATCGATCACCGCACCCCTAGCCCACCAAATCTTCCATTCCTTCTTCATTGCCAAATTGGTACCAGTCTTGTCTTGGAGCATAGCAGCACTGGTTCGATACATCAGTAGGCCACGGCGAGTAATTGTAAAGGCCAGATATGCATTCGGTCACCTCCAAACGATACTTAATGAAATTGAATGCATGGCCCATCCTTCAGGGATTGATCGACGCCGAGAGCTTTGTCCTTTTATCCTTTTGTGCCGCTTAATGGTAGACTGGATTTATTTAGAAGTGCATAGTTAGCTAGTACGACTCTTCGATTTTTCTGTGCAGAGCAATTTATGCAGTGTTTATTGCATTGGTTGGTAGACTTAACCAGTTAGTCTTCCTTTCGGTAGCAGCTGCGTGGTTGTTTTCTTGTCAAAAGTTCTCATTCTCGTTTTTCAGAGATCCGTTTGCTTCCGATCCAACAACTACTCCCGGAGGTTTTGCAGACTTTTCAAGTTTTAGCGCTTTAACAAGCTAACGTTCTGTGCTTTTCAGTACGCACATGGAACTAGATTTCCTCCTTCATAGGTTGTTTCCTCTTAATTTGACGTGTTTTGATACTCAATAGCGTAGACCCGTGAGACTGTAGTATCGAGTGTTTCTGTGTGCATAAGCAAAAGCGTACCATTAAATATTGATTATTTTTTGTAGTGTATCCATTTATTTATTTAGTATGCTTTGTTATTCGCTAGATTGTTAATGTTTTGATAAATAATAACTATTAGTGACGGCATGTTGAAAATGTTTCTAAAGGAAGTTGAGTTTAGCTCTGTGATGTTTGTAAGGATCAGAGAGGTGCGCTAAAATCAAATCGGCAAAGGATCGCCTGTATTAAGTTTGGAGAGAAGCGGAATTAATATAAAGTTGAACAATACACCTGTTAAACTCATTTTTTGGATTTGGTTTTCGGCTCTCGTAGTGCAGTTAGTGGCGTTCTGATTTTACACATTTGCAACCTGGGCATTACAAAATATCCTAAAGGGGTCACATGCTCTGTTGACGGCGCTGCTGATTCGTGGAAGTCCTCAGGACTGGTTTTTTATTAGCGTTCATAGTAGTGAGTAAGTTTCTACACTCTTAGTGAACCGGCATAGGGTTGTTATACGATGTTTGTACGGTCTTTGTTAGCTTTTCATCATATTCATTGTTCACATATACTTGGATACTTGGATGACCCATCTTCACTGGTTGTGCGGGCCTCAGTATAACTTCCATTCATTCGGAGTTTTGCTTGTTTAGCCATTGCGGTTCTCTGGAGTCCAAGAGGTGAACCCAGAGTCTACACCAGGACGTCACCACAGGCAGTAGCCGCTCCTGTGGATCAGAGATTTACCAGCATGCGACTAGCTTAATACCAGGACGGCGGTGGATCCTGGGATTCGTTTGCTCCTGGTTGGTCTTTCTGAGGGAAGCACCGGATTCCTTTTCATGTTAGGAGATTCTGCTTGGGACACTGTATATCGCAACCGACACTCTAAGATTACCTAGTAGCCACGATGAGGCGGTGAACTGTTGGGATGTAGTGTTCATGTAGTGTGGTCTTTCGCTCTCGTACACTTTTTTCTCTGAGGAGTATACTGAGTTTACCTACTGAATAAGGAAATACTTCTGAATATGAAGTAATGAGCGCTCAACGCCCGTATGTTTCGGGCAGCTGAGAGTGGCTGCTTCGATGATCACTACCGATAAATTCCTGTCTTTACAGACAACACTGCGTTTTTCCCCGTTAAACTGAGGCTTAGTTATAATCACAGTCTTAACCCTTTTATTTACTGCCTTTTTCTTTTTAATGGCAGGGTATGTTGCGAAATATAGCTCGTATATAATACTTCTTGGATATAACCAATGTGTCTGTTCAAATCTGCGTTTTTCGCAAGGCTGGATTTCGAAACAAGTGAAATGAAGTTAATGGTCATTATAAATATTCATTTGCCTTGTGTTCCATGGTTTCTGCTCACTTCTTACACTTGCGTTGCAAAATGACCTCTGCAGTAGGACTCATACGTGGGCGGGTGTTGTGGACATTTACCTCTAAGCAAGCATTTCTTCCGGTGGTTTACTTCGCCGCCACAGAACTTCTTCCCTACAATTCTTGGAATTAATCGATAGCTTATCCAGCACATAATGTAGGAATCATCGCCAACGAGAAGCTTTTCTTCACAGTAATTTTGTCCAAGACCTTTCTTCGGACGAGCTCTTTAACTGGTAATCATGGTTCTCGTATGGAATAGGCGGCGGATGCAAAATACTCAGATACACTCATTGTAAGCTTCTAAGCATTTTAAAATGGTGATAACAAAGAGCGAAGTTGGGCGAATGGCGAAGTTACCATTGTCGTCTGTTACCGAAAAAACCAACAAATATCTAACGATGCCAAGTTAGGCATCATCGTCTAAGTGTTATGAATAGAGGTTTACACGATATGGCTCGATGGTTCGATCGATGTAGCCGTAGCTCAGAAGTTCCAAACAGAACCAAAAAAGGGTAGGAAGATTCCTAACGTCATATCGTGGTGTAAATGCACGTATATATATTCTTTATTTTGCTTATAGGGTTCGTCTTCACCTGCGGAGCCCAGTACTTCCGACATTTGATTCGCTTCCTCGGATCCATCATCCACCTTCCTTCCTTTTAGATGATCTTTAGAAGATCTTCCACCTTTTATGTGTGTCTTCGTCTACTGCTTGAGGATTTTCATTTCATCTTGGAAGTCCTAGAATACTGGTCGAGTAGATTATCACTGGAGTCTAGAGATAGTAGAACTAGAGCCTTCCCATTTGGATTCCAAAGAGCGATTTTTTTTTTGAGGGAACATATCAGGTAGCAATCTCCCGACCCGGAAGGGTGAGAGGCTTGATGAGTCTGGAACGGGATCGAACCAGCACCGTGCTCGTGGTGATCGGCATCACTACCACTATTCTATCCACCCTTTGTGTGTACCTGCACATTATACACATACATACATACACGTACACATGTACAAAGGAGTCCTAATTACGCGCTTTCTTGGTGTAGGTGAGGTTCTATGACTACGAACGCTGACGTGATCTCGTTGTCAACAGTACAGTTGTAAGTTAAGAATTTATGCTCGTTTGAAGAATTCCTCATTGAAATATTTCAATTACATTTCAGTGACTAAAAGAACTAACGTGAAAAACAAAAGAAAATAATAATTCGGTAAAAAACAACTTATAAATGTTGTAGAAATAGGTTATCTTCGAGTAAGAGAATGTTGAAGAAAAGGACAAATCCTTGATAACTTATAAAATCTGATAAAACGGTGATAAAATGAGAAAGTGGTGAGTAGAAACTTGTAGGCTATAAAAACTCCTTATGGAAATTTAGACAGATAAAACAGTTAATGGAATACAACAAGGTTAACTTGGATAAAATCTCAGCTTAAAACGTAAACAGTCGGCGTTTCGAGTTGACTTATTGCTTGTATCAGCATTTTTGTGAGCCAAAAAGCCAAACTGATTAGAACAGGACATAGTGAAAAATAATAACGGTCTATTTTTACGAAAAAAAGTTGAAAGAGTTACTGAGATAAGACACTGAGGCCTCCCCTCAGCAGCACTTGTGAGACGTTATATGTGGGACGAAGCACCGTAATGGCGAGATTGATTGGATCCGTTAAAATATCTTGAAGTTCGACTATTGTGATGAGGTGGACGTGGAAGAACCTATCATGGAAATAGTTACGTCGAATGCTAAACAAGTTCAAAAAATCTTACTTTGGTTTGTTCACCCATTCGAACAAGGGGACGATGTTCCATGCGTCTTGTACCGACAAGGTAATGAATGCGATCCCAACAAATTTCACAGTAATACTGCAAGGTTAATCTAACACTTGTAGGTATGACATGTTATAAAGAAAATTCATTTGCAATGACATCGTGAACTCAGTCCGTAACAGTATTTTTTGCTTGCTGTACATCAAAGCGCAACAAACCTGTAGACACTCTACGTCACCGCAAAAATACGGTGCGTACCGTGAACTGCACAGTTTGCCTTCACAGTGGTCGCAAATTTGCTCGTCCATCATGTAGGGCTTGATCTCCACCTGAAAACACCGACGTCAACGACCAAAGGCCTTGCCGCACAGTCGGGTGGAGCCGTTCTGTGATGGGTGATTCGCATTCATCTGGACGCTGTCACCACAACGATGGCACGGGAACATCGAACTGAAGCTTTCCTACGATGTCCAAAGGATCCAGTGAGTAATTGAGAGCTGGTTTACCTTTGGCGTAAAATATCTCTCACCTGAATCAATCGAACGTTCTTCAGTCATGTGTTAATGCCCTATTTCATTAATTTGCTCTATCGGTCGTGAATTGACTGTGATGTTTGTTTTCTACTGAAGAAATACGATGTGTTCCCTTAATTTTTTTGACGACGCTCTGATAGAAACTGTAGAAGCTGTTGTACTGCTGCTAGAAATTTTCAGTGCTTTAGAAATCAGCACGAACGCGAATATTTATCAGCGTGGCTTAGAACGCAATATCAACGGTCTAGCACCTCACCGTGGCTGGGAGGTGCTCCTGGGTGTTGGGCTGCGATGTACAGCGGGAGCATTCATCCCCTCAGACGGGCCTTCCAGTCTGTATGACAAAGTGTGCGGCGTCTCCAACAGAAAACCCAGCTAAGAGTAAACGAATACCAGAACCCACCACCGTTTTGGTATTCAACTAGTCGCGTAGTGGGAAAATCTCGCTCTGATCCAAAAGGACGGTGAATGCGTTTGGTTGTGGTGACCTGGGGCAGACCTTGGCTAGGCTAACTTCGGGACTCCAGGGAACTACAATGGTTAAACCAGCAAAACTCTAAGAAAATGGAAATTATGCCGGGGTCCACACAACCGTGAAGTTGAGTCATCCAAGCATCCAAGTAGGTAAGTAGAACGCAACAAAACAGGCCTGGATTGTTGAGCGAAACGAATGTGTAGCAAATGAAGCTGTCAGAAATCCCAAAACACCAATATGATCAAAGGTCGTATCCGTTTATCTGCAGATATTCTCTGACTGCTTCTATAAAACTAAGAGTTGTAACGCAACAAAGTTGGCAACAAATGCGTCTTGTGCTGAGACCATCGCCTTGTTCAGGATAGTCTTAAACGATTTACGCATCTCATCTTTTTTTCATTATCATCATCTTTAATCTCTTCAAAGTGTCTTTAGGAAAGAATTGAGCGTTAAGAAATTATTTCACCCGATAATTATCCGCCCCCATATTCAGCATCTCTCGACAACCCACCAACATTGACGCTCTCCGGAATGGTTTACCGCTCCACCATTTCCAGAGATCGTTCATAGATGGCGAACTGCTTGATGTACAACAGCGAGTTCCCGGAAACCCAAATACGAGTTTACCTAAGGCTTAACATCGTTATAGTCCTGTAGGGAGTTCGTTTTATCTTTCTTTTTGTTAGGTAGATATGGTTGAACACATCGCAAAAACTCAACCTAAGCCTCACGTTACAACAGCAACAGTTGCTAATCACCGCCACAACTAACCACTTTGAACGGATGCTCTACACAGGATTTAAATTGGTGTCTACGCAGAGTGTTGTAATGGGCAATGTGTGTAATTGGACAAAAGTGAGTCGATATCGGCGTTCGTCGGTTATACATGGTGTTTCCGTTCTTGATTTACCCACTCTTTTCTGTGATTCTCCGTGATGCAGATGAACGAAACGCCCGTTGATGGCTGCGACGAATGCTTGCGTGGTGACAAACGTAACTCGAGCCGCTCCTTTCGGATATTTCAACTCTGGATCGATGTCTATTCCGACGTAGCAAACCGGACCGTATAGACGTTGGAGACACTCGGCTAGTTCACCTAAACTTATAGCTCTCTGTGCACTTTTACCCCATAAATTTGATAGATCTATTGAAGCAAGGTCAATTCCATCGTTGTGTTTTCAAAGCGATGCGCAGTCGATCGAAAATTGAACCCTCGAAAATGTGGCAGTAACTATACTGCATACTAGGTAGGTTTTCAAGTTAGAAGTAAACACATTGAAACACCAGTTGAGCTAAAACTAGAATGACCCAATTATTGAATAGATTTGGTGCGTTCTTATGAAAGTTCCTAAATCTTCCGTACATGTAATAGAGGTGTAGAAGAGGCTGAGTGCTTCGAAACTAACTTGCTTTCGTCGGGCGTGGAACACCTCCAATAAATACGGTTGTCCGAGGATCCATAGTTGCATTTGGATTCTTAATAAAATCCATATCGGCCAAACGCCAAGGTCTTACTTGAACTGGTTTGTCTCGCATTGTCGGAGACGACACGAAGAGATAATACCTAGGTGGTTTGAATCTTTGGCTAACACTTGAGGATTGACAAAGGCTCATTGCGGATTTCTGTGATACTTCGTCAACGGTAGCAACACTAAGTTAAAAGTCATTCATTTTGGGAAAAATGCCTGTAGATCAGTTTGCCAAGTTTGTGTACTAATATCGTTTTCAAACATTAGTTTAAGATACACAAACCTTGATTTATAATAAATCCTATTAACCAAAGTAAAAACACAGAAAGTTAGAAATCTTTAGGTTTATGTAATCACCTTAGGTCCCAGAATTCCTGTGACCATGGATCTACCGAATGCATTTCCGGAAGCGGATTGGTTCGTGGCCTTATCAGAAAGTAGTTGATTGAAAAAGTGCTTCAAATTCTTGAAAAAGTGGATCCCATTTGTGAACAAAACCGTTGAATGTGCTGGATAAATAAAGTTTTTATATCCCAATCCATCCAAAGTTTGGAGTGCTACTTTCACAACACCTGATTGGAGCTTATCATGTAAGACGATCGGCCCTTCTCGACTATTAAGATTAATGTCTGTATCAGACCAAGGAGTACTTGCAGTACTTTGGGGCACTTTGAGGATCGTAATGTTGTACTAAACAACGCATCTGACGGCCGTCAAACCAGTTCGTAGAACGTTGTGAAATGCTGTGCAGAACGTGTCTCGCCTCCTATTTGGCAACGCATAGTTTCTATTGTAGAAAACAAGCAAAAAGAAGTTTCATTTCATACCACAACTATTTTACCGTGTCGTTTTTTAATCGTCCTGCTCAAGTGATCTGTTCCGAAACTCTTGTTTTACCTCTAGCTAGTTTTTCTTCAGCTCGAATACCTTCACTTATAACGGCTCCTAAGCGACGTTTTGAAATGATCACCGTCGAGAAAAGGTAGTAGCCTCTTATCCTCGTTGTCTTCACGGCTGTTATGTCGGCCAAAGTAAATGTTCTTGCACCGTGCGGTCGTTTGCCGTTCCTTGGACAAATACAAAACTGCGAATGGGACAGATATGTGGTGGGGCCTTTACTGGTATGTTTGAATTCGCGCAAAAGAGAAACAAAGTATTAAAGCATGATAACCTAAGATTTAAGATTAATTATGCAGTAGCCAAATATTTTATTCGCCAGAGCTTTACTGTGGTATGAACGGTGTCAAACAATCTCACCGATCATCTTCTTTGTGGCATTCGTTCACAAGATACTGTACGGAACTCTCCTGCTCAAACACCAGAAAGACATATCCCGTCATGGATCGAGCTGAAAAATCAGTCAATATGTGAATAATATTCTATGATTTTGTGGACAAGGTATTCCGAATAAACGGGTAGACGGAAAAATCCTTCCAAAAACACTTAGTTAAGAATGTAAGATGAAAATACCTCGACCCGATTCCTCATCGCGAGCACCGGTGCCTTCTGTTCGGCGAGGCCAATCGACTATCACGTTTCCGAAGACAGAGAACGTTTGCCAAATCTCTTCTTGAAAAAGAGACATAAGTACATTGAGTAGAACATATGAGAAATAGAAATAGCAGGTTCCTTAAGCTCAGTAAGTTACCAACTTGTTTAGATAAGTTCTCGTGAAATGAAATCACTTCAAATTTTGAGACCATGTGTTTACTTGAATTCCTGGTCCTTTCAATGACAAGGTGGAGAACGCTTCGTGCGAACATAACTAATAATTGAAGAAGTGCTGGGAGCTCTTCGCAGCCGTCACTTGGCTTCTTACCGAAAAGCTCCAAAATGCAATTCTAGACAAATTAGTGGAATCGAACAGAGTTAAAGAGCCCTATAATGAGTAAAGGGTGCGTGAAGTGAATTGTTTAGCGCTGATCGGTTATTGACATGGTCATTGGTTCGATCCTGCACGTTGTACTAAGTTCCCATCTTTCCGAAGTTGGTATCGGACTCGTCTGGGAGGACGAGAACACTGACGTGATACATGGCAAGGCGTTCCCAATTCATTGTACATGACAAATGTGAATACAAGCAGCTCCGTGATGTTCAATGGAGTCGAATTCATAGCACATTCCTAAGTGGTAATGCTAGTGCTAATGATAATGACAATATAACTCGTATATAATGCTCAGATATTTGCAAAACTCCGGACCGCAGGTGCATGCGGTGGGGAACGAACGCTCGCTATTGTCCTTACCGGGGAGTACCGCACTTTGCTGTTTGCTGATGGCAAAAGATCTATAGAACTAGCTGAGAGACAGGCAAAACGAAGGACCCGGATAGTGTGGTGGTGAAGTGCGCTACTGTCATTATCTTAACCCTTTTACTTACTGCTTTTTTCTTTCTAATGGCAGGGTATGTTGCGAAATATAACTCGTATATAATGCTGAGATATTTGCAAAACTCCGGACCACAGGTGTATGCGGTGGGGAACGAACGCGCGATATTGTCCTTACCTGGGAGTACCGCACTTTGCTGTTTGCTGAAAATGCTAAGCCTCCAGAAGTGATGGTTTGCAACGAATTTTTGTGTTGCTGATACTTCGAATTCTGCCCTAGAATCGGAGGACGCACAGTTTCTGCTTTGCTCTTAGCTTCTACTCTCTTCGCTATACTGATTGAATTTTTTCATTTTATCGTAAGAGGCGTGTTTAGCGCAGTGGTTAGAGGAGTCTGCAATACACGCGAGATCGATCCCACGCTCCATGCTCATCAAGTCCTCCAACCCTCCAAGGTCGGCATTTGGCACCAGACTTGTCTGGTAGGATAGCAGTACTGGCGCGATACATCGGTAAACCACCGCGAGTCATTGTATAGATCAGATATGCATTCTATCGCCTCTAATGAGAATTAATGAAGTCGAATGTATGGCACATTCCTCAGAGATAGGTCAACGCCGAGATCTTCATCCTTCTCTATCGCAGGAACGACCACTCGACCAATAACTTCAAAACAATTGATTTGAAGAGTACACGCGATAGTACGGAAAAGTGCCGTGGCATTTTTGTCGATAGAACCAGCGTGTTCGATCCATACCGCAGTCACCAGTGATCTGGAGTTTTGCAAATATTTTAACATCATTGTGATCTTCGAACACTCGAAAGTTTTAGAAAGCAGTACCGATAGGAAAAATTGCTCAGGCAGGTGAGAGTTCAACCGTATAGTGCCTTGCTTTACTCGACCATATACAGAAGTTCATGCTTCTTCAGAATCACCCTATATTATTTACTATTCTGCTTTTCACCGTAAACGGTGGATTATATGAGAGTGGAAAGTGCATGTCCTGAGAATCTGCAAAGTCCTCAAGTGGAAACCGAATCTACGTGCAAATCTGAAGACATTTATGGATGACGGATGCACAGCATCGCACTGAATGAGAAAAGTGCTGCGGTCTGAACTATATATGAAATTGGGTCATAAAGTAGAAATAGAAATATGTTTTTCGTAGATTCACTGCAGTAGTTGACCCAGTTGATAGCATAATGATTTCCATAGTTTGAACATTGTTTCCTTTGCAAGCTAAGGAAAGAGATGAAAATATAGTACAATATTTCACTTAATTTACCTTCAGTAACATCGATAGGTAAGCCTCCAACAAAGACTTTACGAGCGAAAATCTCCACCTCGCTGCTGAAATGGGTGGCGGACCTTCTTGGTGCACCCAGCACTTTCTTCCCGTGGTGTGGTGATTTTGTTTCCAAAGGTTCACCCAACGAAATCGAAGGCACTAAAAACGGAAATGCTAGAACACAATCACTAAGAGAGGCCAGTAGTACACGACCACGTGCACTTAAACTATTTTAACATTCCTAAAAGCTTTACTCCTTATTTCTTTCGAATATATTGGCTTTTCGCCAGATGACTAATATGACGTGAAAATAATTCCAGAATGTCAAATTTTCAGTCAAATTTTCAAAACGCCACTCACCAGTTTTCAAAGAGCTTCCATCAGCTCGCACATAATAGTCTTGTTTCCCAAGAATAAACTCGCTACCAGTGTTAGGAGACGATCCGGTACTCGAGGTGCTTTCACTCGAATCCATACTAGCATTCCCCGGAAGAAAAGATGGTAGTGTGCACGTGGCAGATGGCGCTAAAAACTTCTCAAAATTATCCTGAAGCGCAACTTCTTTGCAGTAAAGATTTCCAACAATGTGGCCCTGTCCAGTGATGTAGGCAGGGGCAAGAACTAGATCTCTAACAACGTAGGGTCATGTTGACTCGCAATCTTGTAAAAATAACAACGTGTTAGAATTTCACATGATAAATTTCCAAACGGTAAAAAACGTTCTCGCTTACGTTTAAGAAAAACATTTCCACTTCCTGCAAGTAACACTGGCAAGGCACCTTCATGACGAGCACAGCATGATGACATCGTTGCTGAACAAGAGTGGTTGTTACAGGGGTAGGTGAAGAGATTCGGATTCTGCGCCATCACACTTTGGTGTCGTGCTATATCAGCGAAGAGCTTTTCTGCTCCGAACATCGGATTACAAGCCTGCAAAGAGTATGGGTGCACGGCGGTATTTACAGCAAAACCGTTGCAATTCTGGCTGTGCTTCACGTTAGTCGGCATGTCCTCTTACACCTACCCTACTTATTGCTTTGTCGCATCAGGAAAAGAAAAGCATTTTTGAAGCAATGAAGCTGCGGCGAGGTAGCAATATTATTCAGTGGAGAGCTGAACCCAAAGAAAAAGGCTTTTGCCCGGACCGGCTCTGAGAAAACCTTCTCGGTGTAGAATGGTTGCCGTTCAGTACAGTAGTTGGTTTGCATTTGCATCGCGCCAATGTGGTCAATTAAGTATCGCAACATTTAGCTAAACCTGTATTGATATGGAGTCACTGGGAATGGATGAACGACCGCGTTCATGGGCCGAATTCGGAGACGATTCAGCTTGATATGGCGGCATTTGCAGTGTAAGGGCGGCCAACTGAAAATATTATGCCTAGCTAGAATGTTGGTAATCGCTGTCTTCACTCCACTTCTTTGAATCGTCATCAAAAACTAGGTGTATGGCTTAGCCATTCCAGTTAACTGAAAGACCACCAAAAGTTTGATGCGACAGTAATGCTTCAAAGGTAACCGTTTGCCGACTGAGTATGCGTCGGGATGTCTTTTATATTCCGAGATGTGATCGTCCGTTGCATTCTACCCCACATTATGACCACACTTCCCGCAGAACGTTTGCTTTCCATAAAATGGCCTCATATGCGTGTGTATACAAGATTTCAAGAATTACTTATCGCAGAATTGAACGAAGCTATATGTGAGCAGACATATCTTAGAGCGCGGGACCAAAAGCTTACTTAAAATGTCGTGTCACTTTAGGAAAGTGCCAAACAACAGTACAAATATAATGCGAGCTACGAATATCGAACGCTCGTGTGGAAGATTCAATATGTATGCACTGCCCACTGATCATGAACGTCTATCTCAGAATTTTAATCAAACTTTCAAATATTTTTACCTAAACCACTATTGCAATGTTATATCGGGTTTCATTATTTCCAAGAACGGAACTGTTTCTTTTTCTAAATGGAATTCTATGGTACGAACCTGGGATTGCAAATCCCCCAAAGGAAGACCCATACTGGCTGCCATATGCTTTCTCGACGATGTCAGCACTTCTGAAAATGATCGATAATATTCAACTCAAATTTAACCGGATTTCAGGATGTCAATAAATTAATGTAGCACTCTGAGAATTTTTTTTTGCTTCTCAAACGGTCTCTTAGCACCGCGCTCGTCTCCATCATTGGTCTTCTTAACACGTTGCGAGTAATGTGGGCCCAAAGGTCAGGCTGGCACTTCTCTGTAGACGGAAACTAAGTGCGACGTCAGTTTGAAGAAAACAGAAGCTCGATGAAATGCTGCATGCTGTTAGCAATCCACCATCTGGGAGTTCCTGCACACCCACAGCTAGCGGAGAGTGCGAAGGTCTCCTGTGCTGCTGATGGTGCGTGTTCGATGTGGCCTGTTTGGAACTGCTCTCAGGTGACAACCTGCTGACGTTAATGTTTGCGCAGGCTTTTCTCGGCAGGTTACTGATGGAAGAGGAAAGCGGACAACAAGAACTCGAGTTTATCGCCCCCATGGAAGAGCTCGACCATCTGTGGCTTTGGTGGTCCACCAGAAACTGGAGACGCTTGGTTCGCCCATACCATGGGTGTGGTTCGAGCTTTGCGCCTCAATGTTCGTATTTTTCAAGATCTAAAAAGTTCCTTCTCGGTAAGTACTCTATATACGATGACCTCAAACCGGGTAGTGAGCAACCGACTGGAAACCAACTGCTTCCAAGAGGAAATCAGCCGGTCCCTACACCACCACTGTATTCAACTGATCAGTCATTATTATGGTCAAAGCATAGATATAAATATACTGTACTTGAATCAAACGTGAAAGCACTTAAGAGAGCAAAAATGTGGCTCAAAATTCCTGAAAACCTAGCAGAGGAACAACAGTAAAGCAAAAGAACCACGAGGAAATAATGAGCTGGGAGAGGTGGTGAGCGTTGGTAATAAATTAATCAATGCTT